CAAGAAAAGCAGAACCCTTGTCTCTGCTTGCATAATGTAACAGCTTCTAGACATCAGCTGAACCATGTACACTCATTTGGTAGCAGGATGAAAGGCCAAACAGACAGCTCTCTATGGCGACATCTTTCAGGGGGCACTTTTAGTGCTAGGCTGATGGCACATAGGCCTGAATGTATGTTTTTATTTGTGAGATCTTAATTCTGTTTGGACATTGTTGTATTAACTTTCTAAAGACCAGTAATTTAATTTTAAGATCATTCCACAAAGATTTATCAAAGTATATCTATGTCAATACTGAGACATACAGTTTGGAAGTGTTTGATGTATGTGAAACTAACTTTTGCGACATAGACTTTACATTTAAAATCCAAAATGAGTTCAGTGTCAACTTTTATTAATCACATATAATTTAGCTGAGACTAGATTGAATTTCAGCATTAGAAGATTTCAAATTTGGCCTTAGATATGCAAATCATTTATCATTAAATGGGAAATGTTTACTAAAAGACAAGTAGTCATGAGGTCAGAGTATTCCAAAATATTACTAGTACATTTTATGATTTTAAACACTTTATTTTTCTACTTTAATATACAAAATATGGGATATGTTGAAATTATCCAATTTATTTACACGCGAGATCGGTGTAATTTCCAAGGTATATAAATTGGGTTGTCAGACCTAGATCCGAAAACTGGGATATTTTATGTATACTATTTCTTCATTCGCTTAATGGTCTACTTTTGTTTATTTTGTTACTACGTTAAAGGTGTATGTTATAAATATCAATCAGCATTTGAAACTCAAGTTAAAATTAGCACTATTCATCATTCTTTCAGGCTACCAAAGAAAACGATACCCAAAAAAACAAAACGAAATACACAAACACTTGCAAAATAAAAAACCCACATAAAACTGATTTGTGTACCAAATAAGCCCTTTGTTATAGAGCAGTCCTCAGGAAACTAAAGAAGCAATAAGTCGAAAAACAGCTTATAAAAGAACGATTTTCAATAATATGCTCCTCTCCATGTACCAAGCCCTGGACTTCAAAGAGAGCAGTTACTGTTATCCCTGGTTGTGTGCATATAGGTACCATTCCCATCAACTGGGGCTGAGCACTGAAAAAAATTTATGCATAATAATACACAGAAAAGAGTCATATCTAAGGATTAACTAGTGCTTTAAAAAGTCAACCTAAAATGAATATATATATTTGACTCAGGTTCAGATTTTCATAGAAATGGAGGGGAAGCTTGATTAGACCTCAATTTTAAAAATGTAAATAGAAATGGTACAAATAGGTTTATTTTAGCTGCTATTTTTCTGTAAATTAGATTATAATTATAACTTAGGCTGCAACTTTAGAATGAATAAAGCAGTGGATGTTGTATGTATTTTTCTTAAATGATTCTATGTAGTATAGCGTATCTAAAAATCCTTTATGTTTGACTTTAGCAAGGGAAGAGGATCATATTTGTAAAAACATTTGAGGGGACCATTGTTTTTCCTAAGGGCATTGTTTTTCCTTATATCTTTTGATAATGTTAATGATGATGGTGATAATGATGATGATGACAAAGAGGATGAAGATAATAGAATTTACAGGAAACTCACTACATGCCAGTATTGTTTGAAAGATTCTGCACATAGTCTATTCTGTTGTGAGGATTAAATAAATTATAAATCAAACATCATGGTATTCAAATCATTCTATTTAAAAGAACCTACTAGAGGGGCACCTGGGTGGCTCAGTCTGTTAAGTGTCTGCCTTCAGCTCAGGTCATGATCCCAAGATCATGATCCCAGGGTCTGGAGATTGAGCCCCACGTCAGGCTCCCTGTACAGTGGGGAGCCTGCTTCTCCCTTTCCTCCCTGCTTATGCTCTCTCTCGCTATCTCTATCTCTCTCTCTCCTCTCAAATAAATAAAATCTTAAAAAAAAAAAATAAAAGCACCTATTGAATACAAGTCCAGTCTTCTGAAGTACTATTGTAAGTATCTAACTGATCTTCCACTTTTCTCTCAGGCTATTCTTTACACAGCAAAGTGAACTCTTAAAAATCGAAATCAGTTTGTATCTCTGATCAATAGCCTCTGATGGATGGCTTCCCATTTGACTTAAAAAAAAAAATCTAATATTCTGAACATGGCCAAGAAGAGCTTACATGGCCGTGCCCCACCCTATTGGCCACTTCAGTATTGCTCAAATAACGCCAGGTACTCTCTCCTTGGAAACTCAACTCAGGTTCTTCTCTCTGCCAGGATGCACTTTCCTAGATCTTAGTGCATAGCAAGTCTCTTCTCAGATGCTAACTCAGAAAAGCCTCCCCCAACCTAAAATAGATGATACTCTTCCCCTAATTTCCCACTCAACTCTATTTTTCTCCACATTATTCATCACTATCAAAAACAGTATGACATTTTTTATTTGTTTGGTTGTTGGTTAATGTCTACCCTTCCTCTGCTCCTATCATTACCACAAGAATGTAGGGACCATGCATGTCAGGACTTGTGTTCACTATGTAACGCTACCACTTAGAAGATTATCTAGCACACAGCAAATGTTCCATAAATAGTGGTAGATATTGAATCATTCTTGAAAGGAATCATTGAGCCATTCTTGTCAATTTTCTCTTCACACTTCAGGTGAGCTAAACTGCCTGATGTACAGTGTTAACTCCCAATGTAGGCTCATTGCTATGAATATATATGCACATACTATACCCTCACACAGAGGTTTAAAAACTTGTTAATTTGAAAATCTTTTTAAAAGCATAATCTGGCTTTGTCATACTGTTGTGCTAGGATTTACATTTTATAAAATAAAAATATTCTATGGTCAAAAGTCAGATGTACCTATCAGTCTGGAAGATATATCAGTATAAAATACAGAATATATAGATATAATATCAGTATATATGAAATATATTTAATGAATATATATTACGTTATAATACTTTATATAGTACATATATATAGTTTTCTGATGGCCAATGCCATTGTAAACAAAATTGCTTAATGTCATTAACTAATGCTATTTACCCTAAAGTATGATTTTACTATGTTTATTTTCCTTGATTTATGTTCATTTGGAAAAGTCTATAGTTTAATTTATTTTTGCTCTCTTCACACTGCCTAATCTTAAAAAGAAGGTAGTAAAATAGCAAATCCATCCTCTAACTCATTCCTTTCTGCTGAAACACATAATTTCATAATGTGATTCTTTCTTTCATCAAATGTGGTGTCTGAAGAATGCAACAATTACATCGTAGCAAAGCGGCCTTTATTCTACTATAAGGGTCAGATATTGTTGGAGACGGATAACAACACATCACAGATAGATCAGTACAAGAACTCATGCTTACTGAATTACTATTCACTTCATAAATCTTGATATCTGTTCTAACATAGGCCTTGGAGTCATTTTCATGACTATCAGAGTTGGAGTGAAAATATCACTGGGATTTGCCATTCATGGCACTATGGGTACTTTCTAATTTATGGCTGTGATAGAAAAAGGACAGTGAACATCCAGATTTTTATTTTCTTTAATTAAAAGTTAGTGTGGTAAAGCATGGAATATTGTGCATATTAACCTGACGGGATAGCTATGAAAAACAAGCTGAAGAGTTTGTTCTCGGTCTTTTGTTTATAAAGACAAACATCAAAAGCAAAAATACCCCTTTCTGACAAAAGAGATGTAAAAATATGCATCTGTGCTTTCTGAAGTGGGAGAAACTCACATGAGTGAGGTAGAGGGGTCCAAGGCGTACTTGTACATTGCCTACCTCAGGGAGGGGGATGGAGACCAAAAGGAGGAAAAGGTTAGTAACTTTCTCTTTATAGGAGTCCGTTTTGAGTTTTACAACATATTGCTTTTATAATGACATATTTATATAATTACATATATTTAGATATTTATATATACTTATATAATTTACTTATATATACTTACATAATTTACTTAAATATATTATATATTATCATATACTTATATGATCTATAATTACATATCTATAAAATATGTAATGATATATTACTATCTAGCCACTTAATCTCTATATATATGTGTATTAGTGGATTGCGCACACACATATATGTATATTTAAATTCACCAGTTGCTTTGAATTTAACATTGTTTTTCTGTGTTTTATTACTGAGGCTTTGTTCAGGGCATTTTTGTATCAGCTGTCTTTGGGTAGAAATGTTATAAACAAAAAAGTATATTTTCATGTCAGGAGAGAAAGTAAATCTGTTGCATTAAAACAATACTTTATTAAAGTGTTGGCTAATAATTTAGCCAGAACAGATATTTTAAATTATTCTAATGAATAATGACTAATGGTAAAATATTCTTCTAGTCCGTTCTGTAGGATATATATCCATTTCAGAAGAAAACATATGGCTAATCAAAATAGCTTATTATGAATATGGAACATATTAAGATTCATGGTTTAAAAGAAAAATGGAAATATATAAATATGAAATGTAAGTGTATTACTAACAGGGATCATCTAACTCTAGTAAGGAAAGAAGGGTTCTTATCATACCTATCTCATTTGGTGAAGTAAGTAGATCTTCTGACTGACAAAACTTTAAATCTAACATAAACATTCATTATTTTCAGCACAGCAAAAGAAACAATATATTATTGTTGCTGTAAAAACACTAAGTTCATAAGCCTTTGCTCCAAAAGGAAAGATTGTTTCAGGGGAGGAAAAAAAGGATATTGAATTAGAAGGGAAATACTTTGTTGACTTTTCTCAAAAATAGGACTGTACTACAGCTTGCCAAATCCAAAAATTATTGACTAGCAGAGTTTAGTTAAAAATATTTTGGATTCATATAAAAATATACTTTGAGGTCTAGGGGTTTTTGCTCACATTCTATGTCCTGCACTAGTGTACAAAATTAGAAGGGGACAAAAATAGCCAAATATGCTGTCATATGTTTTAGTACAATGCTAAAATGATAAAGTCTTTCAGATGATTAAGACTTACTGTTATTTCTGAGTCCTCTCTTTACAGTGCCATTGTAATGATCGATAACCTGAAAGGAAAAGAAATGAATCAAGATGTGGTGGTCATCATTAAAAATTTCCATCAACTTTGCTAAGAGAGTAGAACTTTAATGTTCTTACAAAAAGAAAAAAATAAATAATGAGGTGATAGATGTATTAATTAACTCTGTGGCGGGGGGAATCCTTTCACACTGTCTATGTATGTCAAATCACCACAATGTACACTTTAAATCTCTCACAATTTCGTACATCAATTATACCTCAATAAGGCTGAAATGTAAAAAGAAATTCCTGAACCAACACACATCCAAAATGTTCATGTTACATTTATTCAAAAAGAAATCTTAAAACAAAACATCCTCATTAAAATGAGATGTCTAAAGAATTTAAATATTTCAGTATAAATTCTGTCAGCTGAGACCACTTCTTCTATAATAAAAATAGTCATTCTCTTAGAACCCCTAAAAAGTATTGCACAATAATAGGATCACTAATATCAATAAATTACTTTGCTAGGAATAATCAATCCAATTCACTGTATGTGTGCTTTCTAAGTTTGGAAATCTATGACTTCCAAAAATCAAAATTCATAGGAGTCAAAATTAATCAAAATATTAAAACAGATCCAGCCAAAATTAAGTTTATATAAATTAACTATGAAGGCAAATTCTGTTCTTGTTATTGTTTATAAAATATCACAAATTAATTTTAGAGACAAAAGGTTGTCATACAGGTAAACACATGAAATACCACCAATTAATGTTTAAAATATCTGGGTTTTTTTAATAAATAATAAATTTTAATAAATTTTTACAAGTTTATAAACACTACTTTTCGAATCATAGGGTTATTAGTGGAATGCTATTTTTAAAATAGGTTTATTTTAAAATGTTAATATTAAAATACCTCATAAATTACATCTAATGTCTCAAATTTTAATATTTAAGACACTACTCCAAGTTTTTAAGAAGTATTTTTAAATCAGTCTTTTTATATGCTTTACATACGATTAATTTCCTTACCAATATTATTTGCTGTCATAGGCATTCAGAAATTAATTTATATGTGAGAGTAACTAGAAGAACTTGAAATGAGGTGAAGATTTGGGGAAACATATAATGACTGATGAGGTTTTACAAATTATATTCCAACTCTGTGAGAGAGAATCTACAAATATTAACAAAGTGATTGATGGGCTGGTCCAGTTTTTCAAACAGCAGAATATTCATGTAGGCTGTAGAAAGAATGTTTTCCTTCATTGACCTAGTTCATTCACAGTTGGCAAAATATTTGGAAACTAAACCATTAAGGAAGGCTAGTATCCTTTCCAGACCATGAAAATGCAGAAAGAGGACAGCAGAATCTAAGCTTCTAACCCAAAGTTTTAAAATTTTCATTTTAAGCCAATATAGTCTCTTTTATTTTTTGGCTTAAAAAAAACCCTACACAATATATAAACAGTTCAATAATATATTTTTTGTTTAATAAGTATAGCTAGTTATTGATCTATTTAGTACTGAAGTGAAGTACAGAAATATGGAGAACTTTACGAAGTCTAAAGTAAACTATTAAAAATCAAGTACGATTACATTTGTATTTGTGAAGTAAAATAATGTATGGTCAGTTTTATGGTTTTTACACTCCTAGTAGAACATAAAGGTAAATAAACAAAGATCTATAATTAATTCACTACCTAGATTTCAAATTTCTAAATCAGTAGTTTGAACTCCAGGGGCAACTGTGATGAATGCTTTTAATTTCCAAATATTGTTCTGTGAAATTATACACAGGATGGGGGGTTGATAATTTACAAAGGATGTGACAGTTTTTCTTTGGTAAGACAAGTGGGCTCCAAGATGTGTGATTGGCTAGAAATTCTGGGCAATCATCTCCTCATTCTGGGGACAACATATACAAATCCTAGTAAAAGGCCAAGAGGCTAACATCTTTGACACCTTAGATTTGGAATTCTATTTAATTTGTCACCCACTCCTCAATTAAGATGGCACCTTCTTTGCCTGGTGCTAATAGAAGGCTCATTGCTCCTGCCACCAGAATACTGTTGTGTTTGCTCAGCAGTGTGCCTTTCTTACAAGGTGCTGGATGGCATGCTGAAAGGGACAGAGAACAGAGACTAACCCAGATTATTGGAATGTGCTATTTGGTGGATTTTACGACTGATTGTTAGTAAAAGTTAGTATGTTTGCAGAAATTGGTCTGTAACTTATTTGGGTTTTTTTTGGTTTGGTTTTTGAACCAACTACTTGGTAGCAAAGTTGTAAGAGAAGAGACACATACTGTCTACCTATCTTTTATTGTCAAGATGAAAATATTGACAGAAATCCCCTGACAACTGTTGAAAAAAAAAATTATCTTTGGTCAGATCACAATATCAGTCTATGGATTAGAAGATGACTCAGGTCCAGTTTTGCTAGAGAAAATAGGTTGTGCTACAGTAATAACCAATCTCCATTCTGGTGGCTTCAAATGACAAAGGTATATTTCTCACTCATGCTAAATGTCTATTACAGATCAGCAGAGGAGCTCTGCTAATCATAGTAACTCAGGTAAACAGAAAAATAGGGTAGCCTCCATCTCAATTATGGAGAAAGATACAGGAAAGGTGAAGGAACACTGGTGATTAAATGTTCTGGCCCCAAGTACAATACTTACGGGCCTCAACTCCTTTACTGGCCCACTTAAATCACAAGGAGACTAGGAAATGCATTACAATTCTATCATGTGTCCAGAACAGGGGAGAATCAGAAATATTTAACAAATATTTAAAAGTACAAGAGCAATTCAGTGTCTAAAATTGAAACTGAGTTTTTCTGTTTGAATATATCCTAAAGTTGCAGTATATCCTAAAATGGTACTTTTTGGAAAAAAAAAAAAAAGATTAAATTTGACTTTGCTATTGCGTTCCTGAACTAAAGACCAAAATCTTTATGACTGAAATAAATTCTGTTCTAATGCAAGTAATGTAGAATATGAGTGAGCAGGTTTAACTATATACATGATATAAACAGTCATTAAAATTTTTTGCAAAGGGAGATTCTTAAAAAGGATAAAAAGACTATACTTTATATTTACACACTATAGCAGAAGTGGCCAAATCTTTATGTGCATACTAATAACAAGGAGTATTTGTTACAATGCAGATTTTTGGACCTTGGGCTAATATTATTATTTAATAGGACTAGTATTTAAGTGCAGGATTCTACATTTTATTTTATTTTTTTTTATTTTTATTTTTTATATGACAGAGACACAGCAAGAGAGGGAACACAAGCAGGCGGAGTGGAGGAGGGAGAAGCAGGCTTCCTGCAGAGCAGGGAGCCCGATGCGGGGCTCGATCCCAGGACCCTGGGATCATGACCTAAGCCGAAGGCAGACACTTAACCATCTGAGCTACCCAGGCGCCCCTGGATTCTACATTTTAAAATACACCCATTTAATTCTGCTGCAGGTAGTGCTGAGTCCTGGAACCAGATTTTGAGAAGAGTTGGTTAGGGCTAACTGGTTCCAAGAAGCAAAAAGGGTAAGCATGAAATTGAATTGGGGGAAAAGCGAGTAGGGCTTTAATCATTTCATGGCATATGAATTTATTTAGTTGCCTAAATTATATTATAAAACAATGTAACAAGAGAACATCTGACTCAGCAGTCTCAGCAAGATGAACAGCCATGCATTGACATTGCTTCTCTGATTTGCATGAAAATTTTGAATAACTGATATGTGATTAATCTCCATTTAAATTATGAAGAACAGGGGCATAACCATTCTCTTTACAGAAAATTCCCAAAGTAACATCTCTAGTCCAGACTCCTCTCCTGAGTGTCAAATTCAAATATCCAACTTCCAACATGAAATCTCCATTTGGATAGACCTAAGAGACATCTCCATCTTCACATCTCCAAAACCAGATTCTTGACACTTGCCTCCCAAACTTCTCCTCCTGAAGCCATTTCCATCTCAATCAATGACAACAATTCTTTCAGTTACCCAGATCAGAACCGGGAGGCCATCTTTGGTGCATCATTTTCTCAACTGTTTTCTCAACCAGTCAGCAAAGCCCCTCAGTGATTTCTTTGGAGATGCCTTCCAGAATCTGACTACTTCTTATCATCTCCTTCACCCTTGTCTAATCTATGCCACCATCATCTCTTACTTGAACTGTTATAACAACCTCCTAGTGTTCTTCTCCAAGATGTGCTGATAAATGTTTATTGATAACTTTATAAATAATAAATATTGATAATGTTATAAAAGAAAGAAAAGGAAGGAGAGAAAGAAAACAAAGAAAGGAAGGAAGAAGAGGAGGAGGAGGGATGAAGGAAGGAAGGAAAGAAGGCAAGTAAGCAAGGACAAAATGAAGAAGGGGCAGAGAGAGAGAGAGAGAGAAGAAATCCCTAATTGACAGCTTTTGCAGAATTGCATGGTGTAAACACTCCCACCATGACTAATTGAAAGTGACATGACTATGTGTCCTCAAAGAGGTAAGCACAGTGACTTTTTGGGAGCCGGAGGGAGTGAATTCTAGCATATCACAGGTTCTCCTTTCTTTCACCCTTCCCAGTTGATCTTCTTCACCATAAGGCAGCAAGAGTGACCTGAATCTGATGACATCACTCCTCAGCCCAAAGCCTTACAGAGACTTGCCATTTCATTCAGAGTAAAATCTCAGATCTTAACACAGACTCTGAGGCCTGTGCATGATAGTGCTCAGGGCCACCCTGTGCTCTGTGGTCCCACCGACTCCTACCCTTGCCTGGCTCATGGCCCTCCAGGCACCCGGGGCTCCTCCTCACTTGACCTTAAAAATACCAAGTATGCCCCCACTTCAAGGCCTTTCCACTTTCAGTTCCCTCTGCTCAAAATACTTTTTCCTTAGATGTGTCTCTCCCTTACTTCCTTCTGGTCTTTGAACAAATAGCACCTAATCAGGGGCCCCTGCCCTGAACGTCTGATATAAAATGGCATAACCCCCTTCTCTCTTTAATCTTTCAGCTTGCTTTATTCTTTATAG